TTTTGGACTTCTCCAACACGGAGCTTTCAGCTTCGCTACACAGCTCTGCTCATTGTGGTAACAGCCTTAAAGCATCCAGAACGAGTACACAATATGCATTACAGATCCGTTCCATTCTGTGTAGTTGCACAAGCATGAAATGAATTTGGACATTGTGACATTATGAGTCAGGATCGCTGGTCTTGATTTTTGACTTTGCGCAGCTGGACTTTCTGTTGCTACTGAGGAGGCCAGGTTCTTTCTGTTCGTTTGTAGTGCTTTTTGCCTGAATGCTGCCACCGGTGGACTTGGAGGATGGCGTGCTGTGAGTCATCATTACCTGCAGTGGACTTCGTGCAGTACCTTGGAACAGTCAACATTTGAAACACACAGCTTTGTTCTTGAGAATCTTCAAGAGCTGGGCCGTATTCCTGTATTCCTTGTGCGAGGCCTGGACTTTTGCTACTGCTCCAGTCTTCCATGCAAGCAGGCTTCTTCGCTTCTGCTCAGAACCTAGAGCATTTTCTGCCTACTGTAGATTTGTGGGTCATGAGTCATGGGCAAGGTTGCTTTAAAGGGAAAGGCACTGCTGTCCCTGATGGCTATGAATGTTTTCCCAAATAGATCCTGGTGAGCGCAAGCTCCCTGCTTGCCTTGGTGATGGTATTGAGCTAGAGCCTTGATAGCTGTGGTGCATGCGCTGTTTGCCGATCCATTTGAGTGGACCCTGTTCATGCGTTTAGCAACGCGTGCCAGACCCGAGCCATGCCAACTCGAAACACATGCCCTGCCTCAAACCAAAACCGTATTTGCGTGTTTTCTTTAACTTCTGTTTGTTGCGGTGCACTCCTTCCAGAGGTCTCTAGACAAAGTATGTTATGTCCGAAATCAGCCAAATACAAGGAGATGTCCCCTTTGGGTCCTGTGGGAGGGAGGAATGCAGAGGACGAGATAGAAGAAGGGTAAGGGAAGGCTTGTGGGGTACATACAGTACTGTTGCAGGTTCAAAGCACACTTTGTACCCATTGTCATGGTATTCCAGCATGAACTGGAGATGAAGCAGAGCAAGTGAACCCGAAGTTCACCCATGAAGGGTTTTGCAAAATCAGTGATTCAACATCCCTGCCTGGCTGGGTTTGCCCTTTCCAGGACCTTCCATTTATAGGTTACTTCAGATTGGAGCAGTACACAATTTCGTCCGTGGTGGGTGCACCCTGCGCTCTTTGCCGTCCTGCTGCCCTGCCTCTTTATGAATTGTTCAGCTATCCATCGATCCATAATGGAATTGTCCATACGGTCATACGCTTGAAGCTGGGGTCCCTGCCAACTTGGCTGCAATCTTAGAAATCCCTTGTCTAACCGATGTGGAAGTCGATTGGACTTTTCCTGTGATGTTCTCTCCCATCATGAGCATTCGAGCATTCTGGAAATTCCACTGGTTCTATCAGTCCTTGTTCAGCTTCTGAAACTTGTCCAAATGGACAAACTTGTTTCTCCTTAAAGGCCAAACCATCTGAAGAATGCTCTCGAAGATCCTCACAATTCAACCACACGAGCCCTGCGAGGTAAAATGAGTCAACGACGTCCATTCAGTAAAAAAGAGATGAAGGAAAGGAAGTTGGGGTTTTGTTTCCCTTTAAAGAAAGAGGGAGCATAAACTCCTTACTTGTTTTCATCCCTCTTTCACCAGATAGTGGGAGCGATTGGGGTTCTTACTTCAAGTATAGGAGGATGTGTGCGCTTTGGAGCTGATGCTGGTGCCACTGCAGGGTGCCTCTCTAGGGTGCCTCTGCCAGATGCGTCTGGCCGCATGCGCTTTGGAGCCTGCGTGCTGGTGCTGCTGCAGGGCGGTGGAGATTGATGCTGCAGAGTTCCCCTGCAGGATGCTGCTAGGGTGCTGGCCACAAATATCTTTTGCTATCTGTATTTTTTGCTTGTGTAACTTACTTTCTACCCCACAGTTGGCATCCGGGTGGGCACCTTGACAGTAAGTGGCTCCACAGCGTACGTGTAGAACATGTGGAGTATGCTTGGACAAGAGAAGCTGCACACCAACCAAGCAAACAAGCAAAGAAGAGGTATTCTTCCAATCAACTCGCTGTCTACACAGGGTTTTTCGGCTCACCACAGTATATTTGAAGAGGATGAAGCAAAACACGGAAGGCTCAGGAGCTGGCTCGCGCATGGTGAGGTTCTGGTCGTCCAGTGCTGCCGCCATGAGCGGCCATGCCTTTGTAGATAGTGTTAAGTTGCTGTATATATATGTTGAGATCTTGGCATGAACGCCAGCTCCACTCGTGATGTGCAGGGACCGCCATTTGGACCAAGGGTCGCATGAAGGAAAAGGCGTGCCCGTGCGCCGACGGTAGGATCCGTCCAGTTGCGTTTTTGTAACTGGTAGCGGAGCCCTGAAATCAGGGCTCCGGTAGGGTAGGAACCCGTTGCCGGATTTTAGGCATGAACGCCATGGCCAGCTCATCAGAATCCACTGGGATGAAGTCCTTTAGCGGCGACACCGAAGACTCCAAAGAGTATCGGAGATGGAAGGTCTGGGTCACTAACAAACTCCTCACCTTAGGTGACAAAGTTCCGGACACTGCTCGTGGTGCTTACGTGTACACGTTGCTGTCAGGGAAGGCATTGGAGTGTGTTGAGCACCTGGAGCCCCCCCCGTATCAAAAGAAAGATGGAGAGAACGTTTTGTTCGATTTGTTGGACCAACGCTTTCCTCAGAAAGATGCCTCAGATGAGATGTCAGAGGTGCTCACCGAGGTGTTTACATTGAAAGTTGCCGAAGGAGAATCGCTCAAGGCTTGGATCTCCTGTGCCACCGAACTCTTCGACAGGTGTCATCGCAAAGTGAACGTCAGCTTCCCCGAAGAAGCAAGAGGCTGGATGATTCTGCATCGACCAGGGTTGACTGACGAAGAGAAAGCAGTGGTTCTCGCCAGATCCCTCGGAGTGTTGAAGAAGGAAGAGATTGGAAGAGCGATGAGGTCTTGCTACCCCGACTTCACCGTGGGCAAGCTTTGCGCGACAGCAATCTCTCTGGTTGAGGACACCTCCACTGCTGGTCTTGATGAAGGCCCCGTGGACGATATGGAAGAAGAAGAGTCCAGTGCTTACAAGAAGATCCATCAGAAGCCTATGACGAGCCTGATGTTGCTGAGGCTCTGGCTGTGTCATGGCGAGAACGCCGTAAGGAGATAGGCCAGTTGCAACGTGCCAGAAAGTTCAAACAGGCTCAAGATGTTCGCCGCTCTTTCAAAGTTGAAATTGAGGAACTGAAACGGCGGACTAGGTGCAACAAGTGTGGTGCTGTGGGCCACTGGGCCCGTGAGTGCAAGGCTCACGGCAAAGGAACTTCATCTTCGAAGGGCGCCTCATTCAAAGGAGCCTCCAAGGGGAAGGAAAACGCTGCCGCTCTTGTTGTTGAAGAGGGCTTCATAGCAACGGTGAGCAGTCAACATGCTCCATGGTTGTCCTTGCAGCTGCTGAGGGACAAGCTGACTCCTTCTCCCGACATTGGTGTGGAACAGTTGCTGGTGAGTTCTCCCGGCTACGGAATGCTTGATTCCGGTTGTGGTCGGTCCATCATTGGGGCCGATACTTTGGCTGAGTTCATGGAGCTCTGGAAGACCCGTGATATGACCATTCCAACTCCATTTGATGAAGTCAACCATTTCAAGTACGGCAATGGCCATGGAGAGACCACCCAGCGATCCATCCGGGTTCCTGTCGTCTTGGGAGGGCGCTCGGGAACCGTCAAAGCTGCCATTGTGCAAGGACAAGCCCCTTTGCTTGTATCAAGGAGTGCTCTGAAGGCGCTCAAGGCCGCGATCAATTTTGACACCGATGAGTTGACAGTGTTTGACAGTAGGACAGTGGTTCCTTTGAGCACCAACCAGGCTGGCGAGTTCACAGTTGATCTTCTTGGATCACATCCCTGGACGGAGAGTTTTGCTGAGGTCATGTTGTTGGGGGATGGCTCAAAGCCGCAGCCCTCTTGTGAGCATTCGCATTCCACCGAGCCAAGCGTGACGCCGGAGTCCACGCCTTGCGCCGACACTCCATCATCATCTTCGCAGGACATGCCTGTTTTGGTGGTATGGAGTCGGGTTGATGAGTGGTGCTCACAGGTTCCCTCAATAGGTAAGCAAGGACCTCGCTGGACATCCGTTCGTCGTAGGATAGTCACTGATGAGCTACCCAAGAAGTATTGTATGATGAACTCAGTCAGCCACAACTAGGTAAAGCCAAGTATTATAGAGCCCTGCCACCACATGTCATGAAATGTCGCAGTGACTTTCACTATGTGCCCCAGGAAGAGAGCTTACAAGTCGATGCCATGCCGAAGCATCAACTCCATCAGTTGGAGGCCTCCGTGAAGTCTTGGATGTTCGACCGGCTCCGCAACCGTCGTATCTAAAGGGTAAGCGTTTTCTGGTGGCTCAGTCCGGTTGCCGAACAGTTGGGTTTTGCTAGTAAGTCGTATGATCTTCTCAATGGCTTCGACTGCCGACGAGCCACCGACAGGCAAGAGGTCCTGAGTGAACTGGGGCGGACTCCGCCCGATCTGTTAGTCCTTTGTCCACCCTGTACGGATGAAGGAGGCTGGTTTAATTTGCTATGTACATGGATGCAGCCGAACTCGCGCGAAGGATTGCTCAGAGCCGTCTGTACATTCGTTTTTGTTGCCAGTTGTCTAAACAGCAGGTGAGCTTAGATAAACGCGCCCTCTTTGAACACCCTCAGGGCTCCAAGTTGTGGTCATACCCAGAAGTGATTCACTTGTTCAAGAACATGAGTTGACTGGCTTCCAGGTGCTTCAAAGTATCTCAAGAAGGCTACTCATCTTCTGGTTAGCCATGAGGACATGAAGTCCTTGGAAAAGCAATGTCCAGGCTCCAAGCATCCTAAGCACACGTGTCATCAAGAGGTTGCTGGATCGGCTCCTGGGGTGGGACAAATCAGTACTTTTGCTGGTCAATATACTTCTCAGTTCGTCCATGCTGTGCTGAACACAGTTCCTGCCTTTCAACTGTATGAAGCCTCCAGCTACGTCGAATGCTCGCCATGTACAGAGTCACAAGCCCAAGAGGTGCTGATGTCTCGTTCCGAACTGTCAGCCGAGTCTTCCCATGAGCAAATCAAGAAGGTTCTCGATCGATTGCGTCGCAATCTAGGCAATCCTCCAGGTCATGACCTAGTGAGAATCTTGAAACGCGCGCATGCTAGTGAAAAGGTGAAAGCGTTGAACATCGTGTGTCATGGTAGCTGTTATCAAATGGTGATTCCGTTTTTCCATACTGAGACATCTCAATTGTTGAAAGAACGGTTTAATCAGTACTGGGTGAGAGTTTTCGGTCCACCCAAAGCTGTGGTCATCGATCAAGCTCAGACCAACATGGGAGAAGCGTTGCAAAATCACCTTGATTTACAGGGAACCGAAGTTCGACAGATCGCAGGTGAAGCCCACTGGCAGTTAGGCAGAACTGAAGTGCATGGAGGGTGGTTCGCCCGCGTACTCACGAAGATTCTAGTTGAACATAGCGCCGCAACCAAGGAAGGTTGGGAAGAATGTGTCATCCATGCTCATGTTAAGAATCAAATGATTTAGAATTATGGATATACTCCTCATCAACATGTCTTCGGCCAGAATCCTCGCATTCCAAGTGACCTGTTAGATGAGCCGTTCAATATGTCGTGCCAGCCACAGCCAGTCTGACCGATGAAAAACTAGCAGAGACACAAGCCATACGCCTGACGGCCGGAAAGGCGGTGATAGAAATGCAAGACAGTGTCTCGCTCCGTCGAGCCTTAGCGGCTCGACCTCGCTTGCATCAACAGTTTGAACCAGGTGCACTTGTAGCCTACTGGCGACACCAAAAATTCCAGGCCGGACAGGGGTGCTCCTAGGGGGTCAATGGTATGGCGCTGCGGTAGTGATAGGCCTGGCGGGTAGAAATTACATCATTGCTCATCGCAAACACATCTTCCGTTGCGCGCCAGAACAACTTCGACCCGCAACTTCAGAAGAAAAAGCTTTGGTTCAACCCCCACAAGCTGAACTGCTAGGAATCAAGGACATGATCGAAGGTGGAACCTTTCGCAGTCAGAATTTTGTCGACTTAGTGCCTGGTCATTATCCACCGGAGCAGACTGTTGATGGCTCAGCAAGTGAACTAGCTTCCGAACAGGTGCCATCACCAAGTCCGCCTGTCATGCCGACTGTCACAGACTCCATCAAAGTTCATCCCTCCACGGATGAGAAACTCATGGGAAACGAGCCGACACCAGTAGAAACCCCTGTCGAAACAAAAGAGCTTGAGAAGAAGGACTCCGATGCCTCAGAAACGGGTGACTACGGACCGGTGCGCACCAGGACTCGTGTTCACATGAAAAGTGGACCTGCAGCTCTCTTTCGGCCAAAACCCATGCTGCAAGAAGACTTTGTAGATCTAATGAAAGAAGTGGTTCCTCGACTCATTACCGAACAGGTTTTGCAATCGTCGCCACCCAACTGGGATCCAAACGCTGACACTAATATGGCTAGCGGCTAGTGGCCCAAGCAGCAGTAGTGGTGTGAAACGAGCCGCGGAACCGTCTCCGACCGATGAGATTCCAAGCACCAGAGCTCGCTTGTCTGAACCAGAAGATGAAGCTCTATCAGTTCAGACAGCTACCGAGATTTTGTCCGTTCAAGATTGCCAACAACTGTTGCAAGTTTGGGACCAAACCAAGGACATTGAGGTCCTGATCTCCGCATACATGCAAAAGAAGTCGTCTAAGGAAGTCCCAGCAGTTGGAAATGAACCTGTCGCGCAACAAATGGTTGAAGAATCCAAATTGGTAGAGTGGACAACGTTGACTGAGAAGGGAGCCATCAAAATCCACACTGGCAAGCGAGCCGCTTGGTTGAAAGCCAAACATCCAGATCGGTTCATGGGCAGTCGTTTTGTGATTGTTTGAAAGCCTCTGGAAGAAAACCTGCACATTGACATCCAGGACCCAAGTACATGTAAGATTAAGAGCCGTTTGGTGCTTACAAGGACACCTTGATCCCGATCTGGACGGTAAGCTGGATGAAGGACTCCTGCAGAGCCCGACTCTTAGCCAGATGGGGCGAATGGTTCTCATGCAGTTGATTAGCTCCTTTCAGTGGGATCTCCAATTAGGTGATATTAAGGGTGCTTTCTTAGAAGCGGGACCACTCCCAGAACGCTTTTGTCCCCTGTTTGCCTGAAGGAGGTATCCCCGGTGTTGACTCCTCAGCAGTGTTGGAGGTCGTGGGTAACGTCTATGGTCAAAACGACGCCCTCAGCCTGGCATCGTGCTTTTGATAAGGCAGCCACTGAGTTCGGATGGACGCGCTCCACCTTTGACCCACGTCGGAAGGTTCACGGCTGGTGGGTGTCATGGGGGTTCATGTGGACGACGCAGCGCTCGGAGGATCCGGTTCCAGCTTTGAACAAGCCGTCGCGCGATTGAAGTCTCGATTCCCTTACCGGAAGTGGCGAGTCCAGTCGGGAGAATTTTGTGGTGCCTTTTATTTACAAGATCCAAAGACCAAGGCCATCTGCATGTCACAGCAAACCTTTGCAGAAAATATTCGCGCCGCATTCATTCCAAAAGGGGCTGATAACAACCAGATTCTCACTGAACAACAAACACGTGTTCTTCGAGCTATCAATGGTAGTCTCAACTGGATAGCCTCACAATCTAGGCCCGATGTTGCAGAAGCCAACAATGCCATTCGTAGAGTGAAACAACATAAAGACGTTAAGATTCACTTCCAGCCGATTCCACCAGAGGAGCTGTGTGTCTGTTGTCACTCTGACGCCGCGTTCGCGAACCGTGACACACATATCCAGGCCGGTTATGTTTTGGCATTTGTGACAAAGCTCTCAACGAAGGGCAAATCTCATGGTGGACCCCAGCTTGTTGGAAGAGTTACAAACTTCCACGAGCAGTGCGCTCAACCATGGCTGGAGAAAGTCAAGCCATGTCTACAGCCACCGGCACCGTCGAGTGGCTAAGTCTGATTTTGAGTGAAGCTCTTGATGGTCCTTTCGAGCCACGGGAGTTTTTGACAAGATTACAACTCAGACCTCCAATCTTGGCCACCGATTGTAAATCCTTGTATGATCACTTGGTGTCTCCCTCATCCCCTACAGCCGTTGAAGATAGCAGAACCAGCGTCGACATTGTGATCATTCGTGAATCCATCAAACGGATGCAGGCCTCGATTAGATGGCTTCCCACCAATAGAATGTTGGCTGACGCCCTGACTAAGGATAAGTTAGATCCAGTAGATTTGCTTAGAGCATGTCTCAGGAGTGGTACGTATCACATATCTCCAGAGGAACATGTTCTGGCTCAACAAGCTGCCGAACGAGAGCTTCGTACGCAGAAACGAAGGCATCATGCCTTGGAAACGTGCACCGAAGCACCCAGTGAAGCTTGTGAAAATTCGTTTTGAGAACTTGTCACTCGATGGCCGGGTAACTAGTGTGCTTGAATCAAGGAAGGGAGTGTTCAAGGTGATCACTAGATGCTTGAAAGGATAAGTCTAACGGAACGCTTTTGCCAAGAGTGTGTACAGTGCATGTCATCTCTCTCTCTCTCTCTCTCTCTCCCTTTTTGCTGTTTTGTGAAATGCGTCACGCAATCCGCAGCTTTTTCGTAGGCAAACAAGCCTTTTTTGCGAAGAAGCTTTCGTCGCCATCCGGCGAAATGGCATGGACCCAGGAAGATGCCTGCCAAATGAAGGCTCTGCTCGAGAAGGCTGGCCGCAACGGCCTTACTCCCGGAGCCGCTATGGGATTGTCGCCAGCTGCCCATGATGAAGAGTTCGAGATGGTCAGCCACATGACCGATGCCTCCAAGCGCCTTGGTGAAGACCAGCTGCCGCTGTCTACCAAGATGACAAAGAAGAGCCAGCAACGATTCCCTGACGATGAGAGTCCTCTGAACAGCAAGGCTTATGTCAAGGAGATGTTGACATCTCCCTATCCGGGATGCTCTGGAGAACCTCCAGCTTCCTTCCTGCCAGAAGGGATTTTGAGCTTGTCTCATTGCAGCTCCACTGAGGTCCGCTTTGGCAAGTTCAAGGGAAAGGGTATGTGCTATGCAGAGCTCTTCTGTTCCAGGTTTGATGAGGCGATTTCCTACCTCAAGTGTGTGCGCTCCTGCCGCAGCTCAGCAGGAGGAGAATTGGCTTACTTGGCCAATTATGTGCGTCACATGCATCTGGAAGAAAAGAAGGCTGATCCCACCATTGGTGACTATATCCCTGGGACGAGCGCTCGTCGTATCTTCAAGGCTTGAAAGACCTTGAAGGAAAGCTGGCAGAAGATCCACTGTTCATCAAGAAAGTACAAGCAGTGTTGAGATCTTGGCATGAACGCCAGCTCCACTCGGACCGCC